CACAAAGGGCGCAAATTGAATTGGAGGCAGATTGTTTGCCTTCCTATTACCGTGTCCTTCCCATCCTATCTTATTTATACGGTCACGGTTAAGCCACGTCAACATTTTATATTGATTTTTTAATAGAGATAATAAGACAAAAAACAATAGGAATATAAAATGTTGACGTGACTTAACCATGACTACACAAATATGAGGGGATGAGAAGGACACGGTAACAAGAGTGCAAACAATCTGCCTCCAATTGAATTTGGATAAGTCTACTCTAAGAGCAAGTATAGTGGGAAGGACAAGGGTTAGGGGCTAGATGCTTTATTTGACCTCTTAATATGCAATTATTCATAAAATTTAGCGCTCTCAAAATTTAGTTGTTTTAATCGTGTGAAAGATTAAAGGCTAAAAAGTGTTAAGTGACTTGGTTTCGTTGGCTACATGTGGTGTCCTAAACCGTCCTCTAAAAGAGTTCGGGCAAGAATTGGGGCTAATTTGGCCTCACAGGGAGCCTTGAATTCCAACTAGCCTATGCTGATTGGATGCGTTAGAAAGCTTTTCCTTGCAACTTAGGGCTAGATGTTCTTCTAGCCTGGCTAAAAGCCATCCGTTAAATATGTTCAAACATGAAGGACTTTCTGGTGCTAGTGTGTGGTATCTCAACTAAATCATGCATCGATATGTAAAAGTGTAAGATAAAATGTGATTGAAGAGGTTGAAATTTTACATAAAATCAATTTCAAAGCAAAATATTTTATTCTCTTCTTTTGTATTATGATATATGGAGTTCCCTTGACTACTGAGTTATTAGAAAATCTCCTCAAATTTTAACTCGTTTGGAAGTGTTTTTAAAATGACTGAAAACATTTTTTGTGAAATGTTTTAAAAACCAAACATTAATAAAAATTCAAATGGATTCTAAAAAACACTTTGGGTGCGTTTGTTGCATCGGATTGTCTTGGATTAGACTAGCTTTAGGGACTAAATTGGACTGGCTTAGACTAAACTAAGCTGGACTAACTTAGTGAAGCGTTTGGTGCAGTGTCGGACTAAGAAGCAGGACTATAATATTATATTATTTAATCTATATTTATTAATATTTTTTTAAAATTTAATCTATATCAATTAATATTTTATTATTTCTTTATCATTTTCCATTTGCTCTAGACTCATCTTCTTCTCTGATATCTATGCCTCTCTCTTTGTCATTTTCCATTTTTTACTCTGGCCCTCCGTCTCCTCCTTCCCCCTTCCTTTTTCTTCTGTTTCACATATGTACCACTATCTCCTCTCCCCTCTCTCCCCTTGTATTCATTTTGTTTCGCCTCCAAGGAAGCGCTTGGAGCAGGAGTTACGGTGTGGTAGAGGGATCTCAAATTGCGAAGATCGTTTTCGGATCCAAAGTTTTTTAGGCGAAGACCGTTATCTCTGTTTTATGGGTCTAATTCCAGTTTAATCGACGAAAATGGAGAACCCATTTATGCATATCGATTAAGTGTTAAGTGATCTTTTGTCTGTTCGTCGGGAAGCAAATAGGGGGTTGGGTTCGCTGGGTTCGCAGGATGATGGAGATTGGCAAAAAGGTTAAATTTTGATGACTGGGTTCGCGGGATGTTGGTGGTGGTGGAGACGGGATTAGTAATCCCGTAATTTTCGAGGGGTTTAGCTAAGATCAGTGAGCAAAGGACTTAGTCGGCACGAGTCCGAGCTAATCCCATTTAACTTAGTCCTTTGCTATACCAAACATGGGTTATTAGTCCTAGCTAGTCCAGTCCTAGCAAAGAAGGTCAAACAAACGAGGCCTTTAGGTATAAACACATCTCTTCTAAAAAACACTGAAAATCCTTTTGAAATCATTTTAATCATTTTTAAAGCACTTTAAAACGAACCCATCTAATCAGACAGTTGCCAAGAGGAAGGAGGAGAGATTTTTTAGTGTGACCGTCATACGGAGTGGTACATCACGTGTTGTTATATAAATGGTGGGATATATGTGTTAAAAAGTTAATAACTTAAAAAATAAAATTTCTCACCACTTAAATAAAAACACGTGACGTACTACCTGTATTCCCGTCACAACTAAAAATTTCTCGAGAAAAGAGAGTAGTTTCCGACAAGTACATTGTACACGTGTGGAGCATGCATTGGAAAATCGAAAAAGATCAGGTGGAGGTTGATGACGTGAAAGGGCAAAAGACTCGAAGGGAAATAATAAAAAAATAAGCATCGAGGTGATGAAGAGGAGAGAAGCCGAGAGGGACTGAGCTCTCTTTTTATTTGCTTGTCTATAAATAAATGGGCAGAAAGCTTTGAGTTGCAGACAATTTTTAAGCATCATCTGGCAAACCAATTAGCAGGGAAAGCTTAAGAATCCATGGCGAGTAAGGGTGTGATTGCTTCTGCAGTTCGAGCTCTTGCTTCATCAGGAAGCTCAGCATCATCAACAACTTTCACCAGGCACCTCCATGTAAGCCACTCCATAATTTCACATAATTTAATTCAGCAATTAATTAATTGTGATAATTCAGCTTGTTTAATTGCTGATCACCTCTTAAAAATGCCACCTTTAGCTTATGGGGCGATTGCGATTAACCAATTGAGCTAAAAGTCCTTCGTTTTTTTTTTTTTTTTTTAAAATAAAAATTAATAATCCAAATTTTGGTTTGTGTTGAATTGATGTGGTTTTGGTATGAGCAGGCATCTGGTGGAAGCAAAAAGATTGTTGGGGTGTTTTACAAGGCAAATGAGTATGCAGAATTGAACCCCAATTTTCTGGGTTCTCAGGAGAGGGCTTTGGGGATAAGGGACTGGCTGGAATCACAGGGCCACGAGTATATTGTCACTGATGACAAGGAAGGACCAAATTGTGGTTAGTAATTACAAAAATTGCTTCTTTAAGGCTATAATTAGTTTGCAGAGGTGAGTTAAGCTAGTTGGTTATGTTAGTATGGCCGCCCACTTCCCCCGAGTTGGACCCACCTTTTTCGTAGATTAGAATAGTTTAGAATATCGCCTTGCCAGAAACACGAAAGAAAAGGGTACACTTTGCTGATTAATGTGATTGATTAGTGTTGGTTAAAAGCTTTTAGACTCAATTATGTTAAACTTGTCCTGCTAGCATGTATATGGCATCAAAATTTCCCTAATCACTGACCGGTAACTTGTTAATTTAAAAGCTGATTTTTCCCTTTTGGTGCTGTTTGTTCAGAACTAGAGAAACACATTGAAGATCTTCATGTTCTCATAACAACCCCGTTCCACCCTGCCTATGTCACGGCTGAACGGATCAAAAAGGCCAAGAATTTGGAACTGCTTCTAACCGCTGGAATTGGCTCTGATCACATTGATCTGAAAGCTGCAGCTGCTGCTGGTTTGACAGTGGCAGAGGTCACGGGAAGCAATGTGGTTTCGGTTGCAGAAGACGAGCTCATGAGAATCCTCATTCTCGTCCGCAACTTCGTACCTGGGTATCAGCAGATTGTAACCGGGGAATGGAACGTTGCAGGTATTGCCCACAGAGCTTATGATCTCGAAGGAAAGACGGTGGGGACGGTTGGTGCTGGACGTATTGGTAGGCTTTTGCTCCAAAGGTTGAAGCCCTTCAACTGCAATCTTCTCTATCATGATCGCGTCAAGATTGACCCCGAATTGGAGCAACAGACTGGGGCAAAGTTCGAGGAGGATCTGGATGCAATGCTTCCGAAATGTGATGTTATCGTTGTCAACACACCACTTACTGAAAAAACAAGGTACTTGTGTCAAGGCTAATCTTCTGACTATTTTATTCCGTTCATTGATATTGTGACTCGGAGATGTTTGAAAAGATAGAACTGCAAAATGTAATACTATTCAAGCGGATGTGTGATCTTGTGACACAGAGGACTGTTTGACAAAGAAAGAATTGCGAAGTGTAAGAAGGGAGTCCTGATCGTTAACAATGCTCGTGGAGCAATCATGGACACGCAGGCTGTTGTCGATGCTTGCTCCAGCGGACACATTGCAGGTAGCTCATGAACAGGTCAATGTTAGTCGAATTAATTCAGTTGACTTTTGGCTAATCGTTTCATATAATTCTATGATTCCCCAGGTTACAGTGGTGATGTTTGGAACCCACAACCAGCTCCAAAAGACCATCCATGGCGATACATGCCGAACCATGCTATGACCCCTCATATATCCGGTACCACAATTGACGCACAGGTACATTTATTTTCAATGATTTTCTCCTTTACGCTCGCGGTTTCACTTCATATGTTCCCACAACTGAAATCCATCATGTAATGTGTAGTTGCGTTATGCTGCTGGGACGAAGGATATGCTTGACAGGTACTTCAAGGGAGAAGAATTTCCAGCACAAAACTACATTGTCAAGGACGGTAAACTAGCAAGCCAGTACCAGTAGTTCGGTGCTTGTGATGAAGTCTGCTACTTCGTGTTCGCTTGCAGACGCCAACGATGATGTAGCTCCATATGAATAATGTAGCCAAAAGCTTTCGACTTTAGGGTCTGTGCACCCAATGTTTTTATCTTCTTTGTTCCACCGGTTGTATAGCCGTATAGGGCACCGGTTTAATCTGAGCATGCGTTACTATGTCTCTGTGAGACTTGTGAGAGTATTTTCCCTTTCAATAATAAGAACTTGTTACTGTTCTAGTTCATAAATGGAAGAGCATTAACGGAATTTGTTATTAGCGCTACAAAATGCTCTCCGACTTGGAAAGAGTTTGTAATCAAGTGCTGAAAAGCATTATCTCTTCTCCGAGGTCCAGAGTTCGATTTTCTCTTGGTCAATATAGTTGTATCAAAAATGAAAAATTGCTCAAAACTGAAGCTTGAACAGTTGGACTTGTTTTTATATATATTCATAAAAATAGAAAATTCAATCTGGACCACACGTCCATTGAATTTGAAGACGTGTACAAACAGGATCTGCTCATGAAAATGTGGAAGATCAAACGGACGTTGGTCCAGTAACCTTTCGTTTCAAAAGGCGATTTCAACGGTCACAAATTCCACCACCACACACATACTCTCACTACTGTAAAAAACCAATTTCATCTCTCTCTCTCTCTCTCTCTCTGGATCTGCAATTTGTTGTGTGTGTGTGTCTCTCTCTCTAAACGGTAATTCCAAAGCTGAATCCTATCTGCATTTTCCTAGTTTTCTAGCAAAAATTCATCTGAAGAGAGATAAAGGTTCTTGCTTTTTTAGCTGCTGAATTTTTTTTTAATTTTCTATTTATTTTTTGTTCTGTTCATCATCGTTCATCAAAGGCTACATCCCAATTGAGAATGTTTGACTAATGATGTAATTTGTGACTAATTACGAAGCTAAATGTTGCATCTTTATGGACATTTGTGACTAATTGAATTTGTGACGCTTTGTTCTTGTATCTTGTGGCAAATGTGGTTAAATTTGAGTTCTGGATTCATGTTTGTATTGGTTAAGATTTTTCGAGGTTGTTCGGATTGTTGATGTGTTTCTCTGTGTTGGGTTATCTTAGATTTTTTGCTAGAAATGGCGGAAACAAGACCGGCAAAGAGGAAACCCGTCTTCAAGAAGGTTGATCAGCTGAAACCGGACACCAAGGGACATACCTTGGTCGTGAAGGTTGTTAGCTCGAAGATGGTAATGCAGAAGGCCCGTCCTGATGGAATCCAAGTTCGTCAGGTGAGGATCGCGGAATGCTTGGTTGGAGATGAAACCGGAACCATCATTTTCACTGCCAGAAATGATCAAGGTAGTGTCTTTTATCCGACATTGATCTTTGATCTTATCTTGATTTTCCGGCGTCAACACTTATTTACTTTTGTTGTTGTTGGATTGCACAGATTTTAGATGAGATTGTTCTTAAAATGTCTTTAAATTTCCTGTGGACAGTTGACTTGATGACAACCGGTGCAACAGTAATCCTGCGCAACGCGAAAATAGACATGTTCAAGGGTTCTATGAGGCTTGCTGTGGACAAATGGGGTCGAGTTGAAGTAACCGAACCTGCCAGCTTCTCTGTGAAGGAAGATAACAACTTGTCACTAGTGGAATATGAGCTGATCAATGTTAATGAACTGGTTAATCCTGGTGCTGGTGAAGTGGTTAACGCTGTTTGAAAAGTGACCTTCGCTAACGCATTTCACATCCCCGCTTGGAAACAGATTTCGATCAGTATAAAGATATGGTTTTTCTGGTTAATGAGGTGGTGGTACATTGATATGTAGTTTTTCTCAGTGCCTGCCTAAGAAAGTTTCTTGTTTAGCAGACGTCGTGGAGCTATTTCTACGGGAGTCTACTTGTACGAGGGGAGCCATTGCAACTCTGGCCTACTACAGAGCTGGTAACTCCAATCAAATACTGTAAAAGGAACTTGCTTTTCTTTGATTTGTATTAGGCTATGAGTTGTTGCTGTTATGAGATTATCATATGGTTATATGCAAGTGGAGTTTCTGCCCTACGATTTTTCGTTGTAGTATTTTCCCTTCTATCCCCTACCGCCTTGTTTTCGGAAGTTTGGTTGGCTGGCGAATCCTCGATTGATAAGTTATCTGTCATATTTTTTCTTGGCTGGGAAGCAAGCAGAGGACCAACAGCTAGGAAGGTTTTCTCTAATTAGTTGTTTCGTAAACTTTGAAACAAAAACTGCGAATCCACGAGTAAATGATAAACTTGTACTATCATTAAATCTTGAATTTCTTTGCTTACAAGGTACAAGTGAGGAGAAGCACTTGAATCAAGTGTCTCTATCTCTATTTTGTTGAAGGAATTGGAGGTCCTTCATCTGCATTTGAACTGCTTCTTTCGATAGGGGCTTTGGCTCTCGAACGCTGCCATCAGTACTTCCATCGGATACTTTCTGTGCCTTTTCCTTAATAATCCGTTGTAGCTCAGACCGCTCAACGGATGGATAAACAGCCCTAAGCATTACATTCAGAAGTCTCTCATCTTCTTCTTCGATAGGATCCTTCCCGAAGCAACAGAGGTAAATCCCTTCAAGAGCTTTCTCAACCCGAATCTCCATAGGGATAACCGGTGTAGGAGCCTTTAGTTTCGCCCGTCTCTGCATTTTTCATACATCATTTTTAGCTAGAACCGTGAACAAAACTTTGAGCCACACATAAGTTAAACATGATCAAAACTTCGAACCAACCAAACCAACCTCTTTTGCCTCGTTGATCAAGGAAATGAAATTCTGCTCTTCGAATTCGATATCATTTGAAACACGCAGCCTCGCCGCCCCTTCTAAAATCTCTTCGGATTTCAGAAGTCCGGCACCAATGGCTGCCACCCAACAGCACATTAGAACATAAAGAGGATCCCCTGCCTGCACAAAACATCAAAATCCAACTCAAAACTCGTCCATTTTTCCAAACTCAATCGCAAAGATTCACATTTCACACAAAAACACAAATTTAAAGGTGAGCACATGACTAGGTGCTTCCTCGGGAATCGCTTCCAAGTGCTTTTCTAGGAAGCACTTGAATTTTTAGTAACATATTCAACAAACTGCTTATGAACAGAAGTGGTTTTTAAAGAAGCATTTCCAAACGGGTCTTTAAAGATTCGATCTTTACCCGGCCTCGTCGATCTTGGAACTCATAAAAAGCTCTAGAATCATCAGTAGTGCACTTCTTCCCCACCCGCCTCCGAAACTCTGCGAAATCAACGGTGTCTCCGCCGAGGCCTCCTTCGTCGCTGAGAATCCTCGCTATCAAACCGACAACCGGGAGTGAGCCGATGACCTTGCTGGCGAAGCTGGAGATGGAATTTGGGTTGTCCACATAAGCTTTAACAGAGAAAAATCCACTTGAGCTTGGGGCTTTGGAATTCCTGTGTCTCGTGGGGTCGCCATAGATTTGGCCGAGGTATAGCAGAGACGGAGAAATGGGGTGGCGGGAAGGGTTGCTGAGGTGGTGGTTTGCGGCGGTGGAGAGTTGGGGAGTGAAATTGGATTTGAGAGAAGGGGAAGTGGAAGATACAACCACCATGGTTGCAGAAGTGGAAGTTAATCTCGTTGGTCATTGATTAGCCTCCCATTTATATACGTTATCTTATCCCCTGATTTGGGTGAGGCCTAAAGAGAAATATGGGCGGGCCGAGCCCAATAAAAGGCCCATCATTTTCTACCAAACTTCATTTACAAGTATAATAATAATTTTTTTTAGTTTTTTTTTTAGTACATAAATATTTTTATACGAAGAGAATAAGGAGTTCGGCTAAGCCACACAATGGGTAGCCTAATTTGGTATCAAATTCGTCATCCATAAGATTCGAACCTACGACAATTCACTTCCAAGTGAAGAGGAATACCACCAGACTGTAGTATTGAGTGTTAATTTTTTAAACAATTGATTTTGTTAGATTAGCTATTGACAGGATTCGAAACCACGCCGTCATGCAAGGGTTAACTCTTTTCCACCACTGTGATAAAATGCCACTTGCCAAATATAATTATAATTGAATTAGAGCTCGTTTGAAAGTTCTCTTAAAACAACTGAAAACGTTTTTAGATTCAAAAGTAAATTAAGTGCTTTTTGAAAGAAGCACCAGATACATGCTTCTTGCAGGAAGCACTTAAAGTGCTTTTTTAAGATTCACTTAGATGTTTACTAAGAATTGGTTTATAAAACATCTTTACCAAAAGCACTTTCAATCATTTTAAAAGGATTTCTAAACGAGCACTTATATAGGGATGTGCTATCCACACATCATTTTTTACTTCTAACATACCCCTTTCAATTTTTGACGGTCGGATCAAATAAATTGAATGATGTTGGTTTATTAAGAAAACACCAAGTGAATACATTACACCCTCCAAACAAATGCTACAAATTATCTCAAAACAATACGACGGTCTGCCGGATCCCGGAATAAATTTACAAAGTAGTACAGAATAGTCCCTAGCCAGCAATCTTGTAGCTCGGATTGGCAAGATTTTCCAGGCCAGACACCACTTGGATCGATTCTATAACGTCACCAACTTTCAAATCTGCCAAGAAGTCTTCGTTCTGTGTGACATATCCAAACACCGAGTACCTACCATCCAATATGTTGGAATTGCTTGGAGTTAGCTCACTTTCCTTGAGCAGCCAGAACACTTGGCTGGAAGCAGAATTGTCCTCAAATTCCTGCCAACAAAATTTGGAAACCATTTATTCTCAACTTCTGAATTGATCAAACGAGAAAAGATGAACCACGACATTGATCTTACATCTCTCGCCATAGCCATTGTTCCGAACGCATTGAACGGAAGCTTTGTTTGTGCCTTGTATAGCCCGAGCTCCTGTCAGAATACGAATTTCGTAATCCATGTCTAGATAATATAAGCAAATAAGTTCCTATACCTTCTTTCGTCGGATACATTATACGTGCAACTAATTAACAGAAACACATAAACGCAGAGGGAAGGTGTGAGAAGCTTACTTCCAAGGTTTCTCCATAAAAAGGTAATTTCTCTCCCTCGACGGTGATTTCTAATGGTATTGCCCTGGTTTTCTCTGTACTTGGATCTATGAAACCCTCTGCAGGTCCTTCAGGGTCACCAGTTTGCACAACAAAACCATCCGCTGCAAGCAAAAGCAAAGCCAATTCGAAATTTTAAGTTTTGAGGTCAGATGAACTAGTAAACAAAAAATTGAAATACATAAGAGTTACATGTTTACTATGCGATGTTACCTCGTTGGATTTCCATGCCGTCATAGAAGTGTCGTTCCACCAAATCTACAAAGTTCCCGGCAGTTACAGGGGCGTTGTAACCATCAAGAACGATACGGAAGACACAATCAGAAAGGCTGGGATTGTCCTTAACCTTGACCTTCATATCCACCGTCGCTCTCCCCTTCAACAGAGGCATGCTTTGGTATTCTTCAGGCACTTGGTAAGGGAATCCGTCCACCATATCCTCTTCAACACTGCAGAAACCCAATGCCCCAGGAAGATCTCAGCTGCAGTCAATGACAAGCGCATATATGAGGATACGCATGTTATAACTGACAATCCTCGCACATTTCAATGTCTTTTCAGCTCTAGCTCTAACCTACACTAGGGGGCGTAGGCGGTGTTTTTTTGTAATAGTGAATGCAAACAATGCCGGCTGATTCAGTCTTCGTTTTACTAATGTTCTTTCTATTGCTCGGTGTGACATAGGACCAGAAGAGCAGATAAAAGCAGCAAATCCCGACATGAATAGTAATCCTGCGTGCATAGTGTTTTCTGAGTTTTCGGTGTCTGATTTAGCCAGAAAATACCTTTTTGGAAAGGGAACGACGAGGCAGTGTAGCTCATAAACACGGAAAGTCTTTTGCAGCTATTTCAGACAGAAAAAACCTACATTTTGGTTTTCTGTTTTACATTTTTCATGCTGATCAATTAAGTGTAACGAAATTAGAAAGCCAAGATTGTTGACCATGTCACAAGTAAATTTTTGTACCAAATACTCACCCCCCAACATATTGAAGTAGCTCCTTCTGTTTTGCTGCTACTTCATCTCTATTTCTATCCTCCACAATCTGCTGAAGCTCCTTCATTCCAGCTTCCAGCTTGGCAAGCAATTCAACTCCGTGTTCCTTCTTCGATTCAGCTAATCCAGATACAACTAAAGACTTCCCCTGCGTCAGTGCTCTAGACGCCTGCCTCAAATTCTGCATCCCAATTCAGTGTCTCGGTCACCATCTTTCCAAATTCCACATACATAAACACAATGAAGGCAATGAAAGAAATTGTTTGATGAATTTTACCCTTTCAGCGGAATCGAGTGCCTTGACCCCAGCTACCTTGAGACTCTCAGTGATATCTTCAAGCGGTTTCTGTACTTCCCTGATAGCTTTGTTATCAATAGGCAGAGAATATCTCAGCAATGCCCCCGGGTCCTTTATCGGCGGTCCAGAGATCAGTACAGCCAGATCAGGCACCACTGGATTAGCCGCCGCATAGGCATTGCTACACCAATCCAATGCAGGAACTCCTGTCACTAATCCCACCGCCAACGCTATCGAAATCGCGCACTCCTTGATGGAGAATGACTTCCTTTTCTGCTGAAACAAGTGAAAATGCTTAGTGGGTTCTATGTACAATCAATATTTGCAACAAAAGATCTTCCCTTTCTGCTTAAACAAGTGAAGATGCCCAATGGGTTCTATGCACATTCAACTTTTTTGCAGAAAAATGTCACAGCTTTCTGAAAAGATTCTAATTTAACAAAGTACCCAATATTCTATACAGTTCATATATTCTAATTTGTAAAAATAACTTAATTTCCAAGAATTTGATAGAATAAAATTGCAGAAAATTTAAACAAAAAATGGCACCTGTTGGTTGTGGATCTGGCATTGAATAGGGAGTGGCGAGGAACGGCGGGTGGCAAGGTGGTTGTGGGAAATTGGGAAGGGAGGGCGGTGGCGGCTGAAGAATTTGGTGGAGGAGGAGGAAGCTGGAGAAGCAGCAGAGTAGGGGCAGGAGAGGAGGGCTGCCATTGGAGTTTGACAATTTGCAGGATTCTAATTCGTTGACATGAGCAGGCTGAGAGAGATAGGAGGAGGGGGATGGAGGGGGATTGGGTAATCGGTTGGATAAGGTGATTGGTGAGTTGGGGTTGGTTTTGCTGCAGACTTGCTGCTCTGTTGGTCTCTCTCTCTCTCTCTCTCTCTCACTCATATAACAAAATAATGGGAGATTTATGGCAGCCTGGCACATGGGGATTAGGTCATCATCATCCTCAGTCCTCATGCTCTGGATAAGATATTTTCAACTCTTTGGATTTTGAGTCTTCGATTTTTCACTTGGGATGGAAATATTTGAACAGTACACGTATTTAATTACTTGTCTAATCGACAGTACAAGTATTTAATTACTTGTCTAATCGACGTTTGTTATGTGATGAATTGACCACGAAAGAGCATATCTCTCGAGTTTTTTCCCTATCTAGTTTTGACCATGATAGTGTTTCGACCTCTATAACTCAAAGTTTGATTGAATTGGTGAAGGAGAGCACCCCTTGAGGCTTGACTAGGGTAGTGTTTCGTCTCCTCGAACTCAAGTTTGACGTTGGTGCTGTGTAAACACAAAATCTCTCCTTAATAGGGGACTTACCATTCTCGAATAGGGTTTGAGTATTAATTATTTGAGAGGTGATATAAGAACAACTGAAAAAGATAAATCAAATTCAAAACTTAAAGTGTAAAAGTGAATGCTATCAACCGGCATAGCTACAACCTCATTGCCAAATGAGTCTTGAATCTGGACGCAAATGAATATTTTTAGGCTTACCAATAACAATAATGTTTGACCGAAAAGAGTAACAACGAGTTTTGTTGCGACTCTTTCCATCCATGATCCATTAACCAAAGAAAAATAGCACAAAAAGTTGGTGCACATAAAGACATTTGCCAAAGCATAAACTGTCACTAAAATTAAATCCAAAACCTAAAAAAAAATTGCCTATGCAGTGCTTCAGTTACCCGTCACTGCTTAGCAAAAATGAAATATTTACAATCTTGAAAACCCGAAATTAATCAGGCAAGAGAAATTAAAATGTACTAGAAAAATTTTCCATATCAAAACTAAGGCGAAGGTGAAGAAAAAAGTTAAAAAACTTGAACGGAATCCGGTGATGCGGAGTAAAATCATCAGACTATAGCTGCTCCGGTAGCTGTATCAGAGAGCTGCACTTCTGTTGTAGGCTTTCCGGCGACGTCCTTACTGTCCTTCGGAGTGGACTTGTAGTACCATGCATAAAGAACGAGTTGAACCAAACCAGAAAGTGCACCGAGACTGTTGCTAATCTGCATTACATAATTAAAATGCACATTAAGCAGCATGTTTGAGGCTAATCCGAGAAGTAAAAACTTAATCGGTCACAGCGAAAGTACGTTAAAAGTTGTTTGTAATTAGTAATTAGTAATTACCAGGATGTAGATGTCAAACTTGATGAGAGCATAAGCGGTCCAGATCAAACCATTGAGGAAGTTGGTCAGTGAGAGGTAAAACGGCATGTACTCGACACTCTTGGTCTTGATCACTTTCGCCTAGCGGAAAGAAAACACGAAATCATGACAAACTTAACGTAATCCAACCGAAAAATTAGGGAACTAAGCGCGGATTAATCGATAATTACTTACCATGATAGTAAGAGGGGAAGAGTACATAATGATGTTGAAAATATCGCAGATGATACCAACCACCATAGACCTGTTCTTGGTGCCGTGCACGCATAGCAGAGTGATCAGAACCACCGCGGCGAAGAAGATTACTTCACCGGCAAGCCATAAACCCACCTTCTTCTGCAAAATTTGATACAATAAACAGAACAATACTATATTAACATACAAACAAAATGCGATTAGGGGCGAAATTAAGAGTGTACGTAGTTAGTTGATTAATTACGTACCCTTCCTTTGGCCGAAGCATAAACGACGAAGATAGTGAGGTAGATGACCTCGAGAGCAAGGCCGACGGCGTTAATGGTGACCACAAGAGTGCTGTCAGGGTGAACAAACGGCATGCCGTAGAAGATCCAGAACAAGCAGTTCAGTACTGTTGCCATGTAAGGGTCCGGCTTGAACTCCTCCGTGTCCTTCTTCTTAATGATTTTCCAAAATGTAGGACTGCGTATCCCCAAGATTAATACATGTTTAATTAAATCAGAATTTCTTAGAACAAACAAAATTTAAGCTTAATTTAATTTAATTAAAGTAAAGTAAAATTCATTAAATACTTGCACAAAATCTCATATTTCAGATACAAAAGTAAATTAATTTAATTTAATTTAATTAAAGTAAATGAGAAAATCTCATGTTTCAGATGAAATTAATTAAACAAAACATGCCAATATTTCATAGATTCAGAAAGCATGCTTGTACTTTAATGCATGTAATTAACAGGAACTAATCAAAGTAGAAACTAGCTGATTAACTAATTAAGCTGGTTCAGTAATTAATCGTACGGTCATCATCACGTCCCAATCCAAAAGAAAACTCAGTTCAGTACATAATTTCACTAGTTAATCACCGATTTAAACTCATCTAATCACGCATTATCGATTATTCACGCAACAAGAACAACAAAATCATCACTGATCGAGATCATCACAAACGAGAGAGAGAGAGAGAGAGATTACACAGGGGAGAGAAAAAGCCCGAAGGAGATGACATTCCCTGCACACGATCAAAAACCAAACAAACAAACACAAAAATCAGAACGCTAATTAATCATCATTATCTCTCTGATTTACAAACTAATTACATTACGATCAGAAAATTAAGAAAAATCACAAACTAACAACAACAAAAATCCACAAAATCGAAGCATGAGCAGCATAGCTATAGCTAGAAGATGAAGAGCGTGACGGAAGAAATCAAAGGGTTTTTATACTGTACGGAGCGCACGTACCGATAATGCCTACGACGTTTCTTGCTGCTTCAGCGCTCACCATCTTTGCAGAGCTAGAGAGAGGAAGCTAGAGAGAGAATCAGAACATCTAGAGCGAGAGAGAGGGTGTGTGAGATTTTGAGAGAACGGACGGCTGATATTTATAGAGGCAGCAGCTGGCGAGTAATTCGAATCCTTGTACAATTGAATTTCCATTTTATTTATTTTCTGGATAATTTTTATTTTTATTTTTCGCATTTATCTCGGATTTTACAGGTTTCCGGAGGCGGGACGAACTCGCTCGTGTATCGGACTCTGTCCGGATGATCAGGAACCGGGTTACGATTCGATCTGGGCCGTCGATTTTGTTGTTTGGGGCGCAAGGAAATGGCGCGGCGAAGCGGCGCGGTGTGGTTTTTGGCGTGCATGAGTGTTGCATGGAATCCGAGCTCTCTACTGTTTCAGGTGGTTACGACGGTTACGGAAATGGGTCTTGGTTTCCAAGTTAATTACTTACTCTGCCATCGTTTCGGATTGGAGGCGCCATACACGTGTTGCCTATTTATCCGGTGGCTTTTTTCTGTCAACCAATTAGTAACGTACATAAATTGTACATGGAGTTGGTTAATCCTAATTAGCAGCCTAAACCCAATTACGATTTGGATAAGAGTGTTAATTATGCATGGATGACACTAATTTAGATTATATCCATATTGGATAGGATTATATAAGACTTTGTGTACAATAGAGAAATTAAATGGACGTCAATGGTACGGTATCATAATTCAATTCCGATATTATGTAAGTAAGTTAAAACACACAAGGAATTATCATTCTAATTCGAATTGTATATAAGTTTTTTCTAGGGCAGAAGGGCTAGGTGTAAGACAGAATCCTAGGTCGATTGAAATAAGGAATATAAATTTCATTGGAAGTTGAATTCTATTTCTTCTAGCTCAAGTTATTCTGAAGTTAGCCAAAGGTTATATGAACTTTAACATGTATGTTTTTTTGTCACGAGTAGTAGAATATTCGTGAGCTACATGTATATATTATTTTCGCCAGGCAAAGGCTAAGTATTTGAACTCAATGTTTAAAATATCGATATGCAAATTTATGGAAATATTGATGGATATCATCAATATCAACATTGGTAGCCTTTGACGAAATATGGACAATTTGCAATGAAGTGGGTTATCAACTCACTCAGATTTAATCTCAATTAAAGAAAAGTTTCTCAAACAAAATTTCAAAAGTTTGAAATCTGGATTCCTGTAAAAAATTTATAGTGAATCAGTAAATATAGTCGATACTCATCGATTTTCCTATATTTCACGCGTTATAGGGTGAATTTTGCATTTTTCCTCCGTTTCCATATCGATTCTTGATTTTTAGATATTTTAATGGAAATAATGACAATTTCATGAATATTTTAAACACTGGTTATAGTTGATCATGTTTGTACCCTAAAAGTGATACATTTACGTGATTTTTCCATCTGTTTTCGCTCAATAATCAAACCCTAAAGATGGTGATATATGGACGGGAAGTCAAGTGCTATATCCATTTGGGGGTTTATAGATTTAGACAATCGATTTGGACACTCCTCCCAAAGTCCAAAAGATAATTTCGATTACGGTTTTCTGTTACATTTACTACAAGCCAAACGGACAATTAATCAATTTATATTAAGAGTGTATAAAATAGGATAAGTAAAAGACTTCTGTGACTAATGAGGCGAGTAAAAGGCAAACCAGTGGCTAATGATGCTTAAAATACAAAAATACAACAAATGCACCTTTGGGATTGAACTTGGGAGAAATTCTTCAGTGTGTCCGGAACACATGCGGTACATGACATGTTATTATACAATTGGAGGGACACTTGAAAAAAAAAAAAATTTCCAATTGTATTATGACATGTGGTGTACCACCCCGTATTCCGGACACACTTGAAAAAATTCTCGAACTTGAGTCACCTATCAATTAAAGTAACCAATCTTAGTAAGTAATTAAACTCAAGAATCTGTCAAAAAACTGTTAGATCAATTGTTAAAATGCTTCAACCGTTATAGATAGATTCATCAACTATCAACTGCTAAAACGCTTCAACCGTTATAGATAGATTCATCAACTATTGGCGACTAATTGAATAAATCTAACCGGGCACAAATTGGGACATGATTGTGATTGGGTCACCGTGTTCTTGTAGTGAGAAACTTCGACGAGGCTGTCTGACCAATATAGAATGAGACTAGCGCTGAGTCGTGCAGGAATGAGATACACTGGGACAATTGGAACCTATTGCTGCTATAACTTGAAGAGAATAAAAATGTTGTTCCTTTCAGTGGCGGAACCAGAATTGCGTCAATGTGGGGTGCTAAATTGCGATAGTGTGGTTAAGTACGAATCAACGTTTTAAATTGCGATAGTGTAACACTACGTCCTTTATCCCTTAAGCTTCAATGCGTTTATACATATTGTCTACACTGGGCAGATCACAGATGCTGGCTCCGAGCCCGACAGTGCTCCCCTTTCAACATTCCCAGAGTTTTGTGGCATCATGGGCGGGTCTATTGGACAGATGCAAACTTCAGTCCAGCAAAAGTAAGACTGCTTGTTGGATTTTGTGGGCCTTTACAAGTCCATCAATTAGGGTACCTGCAGCTCCTTAAAGTAAGATTGCTCACAGATGCATAACCAGCTGAATTGCAGTAGTATTGGTGGGTAAGAAATCTGATGATGAATCTATTAATATATTAAATCATGTGGTTAGAAAGGTTCAGGGATATAATATGTGCTAGATGAGCCAAGCTCCACCAGCCTTGATATTAATTAATTAGTTTAATATATCTACACACGTGTTTGCACTTCTTATCACGTAAATAACCTGTGCTACATAAAAATTTACCTGGCTCCCCAAAGAAGAGAATATGTGGTGTCCTCGAGTTGTTTCTCTCTGATTATGTGATAAGTGAAACATAAACAAAAGTGTATACATACATCCGATTACAAGACAAATTCTCTCCGCGATCAGCCAAAGCCACCGATGGCAAAGACAAAGGCATTTGACTTGATAGGTGAAATGGATGTGACATGTAGTTGCATTTGGAGAGAGAGAGAGAGAGAGAGGAGCATTATACTTGTTCTACTTTTTATGTTGGCGACGGGTAATATTTATGGCCATTATCGACCATACACACACAGAAACATATTCTTCCCAGGTGCCTGGTGCCCTCCTCCTTTTTGAATTCGTAGCATTCCTCTCTCTCTCTCTCTCTCTCTCTCTCTCTCTCTCTCTCTCTCTCTCTCTCTCTCTCATATCATATGGGTTAGTTCCCCCCATGTCAGCATTTCATTCCCATGGATCGATCCCAGTTTTGGCTAAAGGGTTTAAAGCTAAGTATAGTATAGTATAGCACTTTAGGACAATTGGACCTCCTCCCCTAAAGTTCCAATCCACTTCTAGCAAAAGATACCCTCCCATTTAGTCTCTTACCTTACCACTGAAGTAACTGGACAACAAAAGCAATCCACCCAACACTCCCCCCTTGCATGAAGCAGAGAGAGAGAGAGAGAGAATTGATACCTTCTTTAACGTGGGAGGTTGAATGATAAATAATGGTGCTACTTGGTATATACTCTACATTAATCCTAAAAAATGAACCTACTTATACTAACTTCCCGGGCAAAGTCTCTTAAGCACAATGGTTATATATATAGTTAGTCGTCTTTTTAATGATAAACTTTTCAATATACCTGGGACACAGAATGGAACACCACATGTCAAAACTTTCCTCTAATTGAATAATAATGTGGTGTATTGCCCCGTGTTCTAAACACACTAAAAATCTCTTCATTTTAATAGATGATGCATAGTTATCTTTAGTGTATCAAACTCATATAATATATGTGTTATTAAACACACACACACACACACATATATATATCCAACTTGATCTTGATTCTTCATGACTAAACAAAGTTCAAGAGCAAGATTGTTATGCATATATGATATGAAATATATAGAAGAGAATTAACTTATGAGTCTCAATGTCAGTATCTTTTCTTATCTCACGCAAAAAAAAAAAAGTAGCTACACCGTAACGTGAAAGTATTCTCCCCTAAAACAGAGGTGGAGAATATGTGCACCTAATCTTAAAAAGAGATGGACACGTTATATACACAATGTGCTCGTCGGCGGAAGCTAAGTCCATTTGAATAGGAGAAAAAGTGATCGATGATGGGCTGTTTCCCTGATTCCATTACTGACTCAGAAACCGTAATTGCTGGTATAGATTGAAGAGAATAAAAGATTGACAAAATTGTACTTCTTTATTTGTTTATTTATTATATTTTCATGCTGATGAAGATGACGAAATTGTACGCTAAAATGTTTAACATCTTTCTTGCCTAAAGAAACAGATTCTCACGACTTGTTATCTTCTGGGGAGAAGTGAATCTCATTCCTTCTTAGGATGGGAAACTGTTTATTTTAATTTGTATTGTTTAATTTGATTCTTTTTTTCCTTTTCTTTTTTCTTTTTTAATTATTAAGCGTGCGGGAGTTTACTACATATATACCCACATTAGAAATAACCTCTTTGTGACAGAAATGTTGCTCCTTTGTGATCAAAGAGTCACGAATTTGAGCTGTGGAAACAATCTATTTACAAAGTAAGAATAAGATTGTACGATAAACATTCTCCTCCCCACTCCCACCCAACGTCATCGCAAAACGAAAAGCCTTGTTAACTTGAGATCCTTTTATATTTCCACATTAAAGATCGAAGCCAACGGTACACAACTGGCCAACACATGGAAAGTGGACATTCATCTAATCTAAATTTATCAAAATTAAAATAAAATAAAATTGTTGGATGTGAATTAAATCCATATGATGCTTATAAGATTCGGTATGCATTTTTTCAGTTGTATTGCTTGAACATTGTAATTTTTTCCATTTCATTACTATTATATTGCTTATTTTCTAAGACAAATTTAAGATGCTTACACATGTGCACCTCCATCATTTTCTCATGATACATCACATGCTTTGATCTATATAGCTTAAGTCAAAGTTGTATAAAATCACCAAATATATATATATATATATATATATATATATATATATATATTTCTTCTTAGCTAGGCCACCAATGAGGGGTTGACATAAGGAAATGGCGAATTGTGTTAGGGGGATTCGACTATGAGATGGAGACTCCCCCGAACCAGCAGCCTTCGCGCCAAGCAAGACCGCCCTTGTCCCTTTCCTTTCTCCATTCCGCCCCCTTCTTTCTTCCAATAGAGTCTAAGGCAAAGCAAAAGGGGTGGGCAAAATGGGTAGAGGAAGACCTAAGAAGAGTTTGATAAGACTATAAGAAAATATATGGAATACTTAGAGCTAACAGAATGCTTAGTGCAAAATT